CAGGAATGCACAGGAACAGAGTTCCGGCTGGCTTCAGAGTTGGCCACGCCCACTACAGCCAAAACCTCTCCGTGCGTGGCTACAGAGGGGAAGGCCTGCAGAGTGACACACACACCCCGGCGACTCTGAGGCGGGCGGGCCGGGGGGGCCCTGGAAGGATCGGGAAGGCATTTAAATGCCTCCCCGTGCCTTCCCCGGCCTGTCCAAGGGTCGGCTTGCCTGGGAAAGCCAAGGGAAGACATGGGTGTGTGACCTAATATGCTAACGAGCTATCCTGGGTGTGGCCTAATATGCTAATGAGTTTCTGGTGTTGGGTGTGGCCTATTATGCTAATGAGTTCCTGCTGGGCTTTTTCTACAAAAAAAAGCCCTGTATAAAACACTTCTGGGGAACCACCACATTTGGCGCCCCATCCTCTACGCACCAAACTGAAAACCCAGCAATTAAGTATTGCTTGTCACAAGTCCATGTTTCCCAGACTTCTGGGAGCTAAGGACCATCGGAGAAGGGTCTAATTCAGTCCCTCGCCTGAAAAAGACTGAGTTCAGATTGCACAAAAGGGAGTGTGACTCAGAGGAGCCCACCCGCTGTGATTCTGCATGAGTCACTGTTCTGAGCTGGCCTCCGTGGAAGGCAGTTCCATTAAGAGCGGTCTCTGCTTCCGGACAACGACCCGGATTCAAATTTGGACTCTTCCACGAGTCTCTCTGGACGACCTTGGGCCCGTCTCACACGCATATATACTCAACCCAACCTACCTCACAGAGCTGTTGTAAAGAGAAAAGGGGGAGGCCCATGTATGCCACCCTGAGCAAACTAGGCAGTAAAAACTGTATCTGCTGGGTTCTGCCAATGAAGGGTCAAAAGCAGGGGTCATTTCGTAGAAAAAGAGGTGCAGGAGCTCATTAGCGTAACTCATTTGCATATGCCACTCCCCCTGACAACACCGAAAGTGTGTCAGAAGGCAACACCCACCGCTCAGTTTGAATTTTGGCATCGTGTGTCCAAGGCAAAGTCCCCAGCAATGCCAGTCACACACCCCTCAAAAGAAGGGCATCGCAATTGCCAGAAAAAACAGAACATACCGGTCCAGTTTTCTAGGGTTGCCAGTCTCTATGGGGTGCCTGGAGATCTCTGGGACTTACAACTGATCTCTGGACAACAGACGTCAATCCCCCTGGAGAAAATGGTTGTATCCCACCCATTTCCCCCCCCCCCCCCCAAACCTCACACTCCTCAGGCTCCACCTCCACAATCTCCAGAAACTTCCCAATGCAGATTTGGCACCCCTACAGTTTGCACAGGATGGGCCGGATCCAGCCCGCTTCTCGGCTGATGCAAAAGGACAAAGGGGCCTCTTCTGACCACCCAACCAGGCTTTGCTGGGGATCTTGAGCAATGCTCCCTCTAAGCTGTAGAGTCTCGTGAGCAAAAATTCTACTTTGTGAGCTACCGGCATTAAAATTGTGAGCGGGCGATTTGGCTACTGCATCAATTAGTTTGCTCTGGAGCCCTCCTTCCTGAGCGAAGACAAAAATCTGTGAGCTGGAGGCTAAAAAACTGTGAGCTGGCTCACACTAACTCAGCTTAGAGGGAACACTGAGCCCTGCATGGGCAGACGGCACAAAGGACACCATCTGTAGCTGTAAAGTACTGGGTTCTAGACTCCTTGCAGTGATCAGCTCTAGTTTATTCAGTGATTTCAGCAAACTACATGACTGAAAACCTGGCCTTGCAGCCCTGTTTATAAAGCCTGCAGAGACCACCCCCCAGCACACCCCACCACCAACAATTGGCTATTTACATTACAACCACTACACTATAGGTCCATTCCAGGATCCTGGCCAGTCTATTGTTCTGGTGGAACAAGCTCAGCCAGTGTACACCACACCCAACACACACCCACTCCCAGTGATAGGCTATTTACATTACACTGCTTGTCTATAGGTTAGTGATGTAAATGTTAGTACCACGAGTGTTAGTATCACAATATACTTGTAGAGTTCCTGTTTATCTTCCATGTTTATATGATACTGTGTTAATTGTTATTTATATTTATTTATTTATTTATACTTCATACAGAACAGTAGCGTTTGGGGGCGGAGCCTGGGGAGGCTGGGGTTTGGGAGGGGAGTAGGGATGCCAGCCTCCAGGTGGGACCTGGGGATGAGCCAGAATTCCAGTTCCCCTTGGAGAAGATGCGTGCTTCAAAGGGCGGTTCAAAGGGGGGTGGCCGGGGGGGGGGGGACAGGACAACTTTCATGGGAACTGACCTCTGCAATACGGAGATTGCTTGTAATCTGGGGAGATCTCAGGCCCACCTGGAAGTAGGCGACTCTACGTAGGGTTTTGTGGTTGTTTTTTTTTAAACCCGAAGGGATATTTTTATTTTGCATTAACTACAAACTACAAAGAAAATTAGGGAGGGAAACTATAACTAGGGATAAAGGAAAGATAACCACACTAAACTAAAAACCCAAGAGGAGGAGATGTTATTTCTGTTGATGTAAATGTTAGTACCACGAGTGTTAGTATCACAATATACTTGTAGAGTTCCTGTTTATCTTCCATGTTTATATGATACTGTGTTAATTGTTATTTATATTTATTTATTTATTTATACTTTCAATTTGTACCCCACTCAACCCCAAAGGGCTCTGAGCGGCTTACACGGTGCATGGTGCAGAGACCTATGCAGAAACCCTATGGCCACAGTGCGTCTGGGGTGGGGGGAGCCCTACCAGGTACCCTCCCGGCTCCGATCGTTCATTTATCCGGCGAGTGGGTGACTTCTTCCAGTTCTCTCCGGTGCCTCTTCCGCAGCCTCCGCTGTTCTTTCGGCTCTCTGGCGACTCCTCTCAGGGGCTGTTGGTTATGGACCCTGGTGCGCAGCTGCAGTGGGCGTCACAACGTCCCTGCAGCTCCGGACGTCCTCCTGCTGGCCACGTCATCAGCTGCCGAGCCAACCGCCTCCTTGGGATGTCGCTGCCTCTCTTCATCTCCTCCGTGCTGACCGCCGCCGTGTCGCCGCCGCTTCTCGATTCCTCGCTCAGCTGGAGCCCAATTTCCTACAGACAGGTACCCATTTACCTAATTGCCCCGAGGGGCTTTCGGACTGCTGGGTTGGCAGGAGCTGGGGCAAAGGGTCGGGAGCTCACCCCGACCACGGTGGTATTCGAACCGCTGTTACAGCTGTTCGAGATGACTATTTCTACAGGCATTTAACTGCCTGTGCCACCGCCCCCTTATGAGAAAACTTTCTGATCATCTTCGTGTTCTTCGCTTCAAAAGGCCAGTTTCCGAGTCCTTCCGCCTTTACTTCGGCTTTCGACTCTACGTAGGGTTGTTGCCAACTGTGGGTTGAGAAATTCCTGGATGTTTTGGAGGGTGGCGACTGCGGAGGGTGGTTTTGGGGTGGAGAGGGACTTTGGCAATGCTCCCTCTAAGCTGTGGGGTCTTGTGAGCAAAAATTCAACTTTGTGAGCGACTGGCATGAAAAAGTTGTGAGCGGGCGGTTTGGCTGCTGCATAACTTAGTTTGCTCTGGAGCCGTCCTTCCCGAGCGAAGAGAAAAATGGGTGAGCCGGAGGCTAAAGAACTGTGAGCTGGCTCGCGCTAACTCGGCTTAGAGGGAACACTGGACTCTGGCAGGGCGTGATGCATTAGACTCCACCTCCCAAAGCAGCCATTTTCTCCAGGGGAACTGGTCTCTGTCGTCTGGAGAACAGCCGTCGTTCCAGGAGATCTCCAGGCCCCACCTGGAGGTTGGCAACCCTACAATTGGAGCACTGGCGCTCAGCGGAGCAGGAGCCTGAGGACTCGGAACCCTCCTCACGTCCCCTTTGCCTGTAAAAAACCCTCCGCTGCAGCCTTCCATGGTCGGCTGCTTCCCTTCCATTGGCCACCGTTGCCTGTATTAACTCAGCTCCCGCCACTGCCAACCTCCGTCCGTCTCCGCACGGCCCTCGCAAGGGAGACAGCTGCTGCCACAAACGACTTAATACAGCAAGAGACAAGAGCGATGCCGCTTGGCAGGGGAGGCGGGAGGGAAGCGGCAGGATCTTGGAACGCAACCCGGCCCTCCTGGCTCACGGAGCACGCGGCAGGGACTGGTCGGGAAGGCGGCTTCGCCCGTTATGAAATGGCAGACACATACACCCCCGGTTTGCCTCAATGCGTGCCAAGCCCAACTATCTGCATGGAGCCCGGGCATCCGACATGGGATTTCTCTCAACCAGGCTCCCTGTATTTAGGCATATGCTCCCAAAAATCTAAATCTTCTATGGGAAGACATTGGGGGTGCTCCGGCCAGCTTTTTCACTGAATCAGGCCCGGTGCCCCTCCCTGCTACGAGAGTTCCCAAAGCATTATGGAG